AGACTCTTTTAATAATTTTTAGGAAAGATGGATCAAAAGAGCCAATAGTGGAAATGAGAACAGAGGATGAAAGAATTACCAATCATGAAGATGGGAGTCCAGTAAATGAGCCAAATGAGACAACTCCCCTCACAGAACCAGAGTAAGTAGGCTGATATTCCCTGGAGTTTCACACAAGCTCCTCTTGGCTGCATGGATGGACTGGACTTCCTGCACTCTGGGGGGGAGATACACAGCATCACCAGAACAGTCTGCTGTGGCAGTGCAGTGTATCAGTGTGAGGTTTGTTTGTTTGTTTGTTTGTTTTTTTACGATAATCCATCTAAATGATGGTACCTCACATACACTGGCTGAGGATATCAAGAGATATTTTTCTCTGCTTTCTGTGACCCAGAGTACAACCACATCTGGGCATTATCCAGCCCTTGGGTGGCAACACCATGACAGAGGCAATCCTGCAGCGTCTTTACACTGCCACCTGTTTGGAGATTAATGAGCCTCCAGGGAAACGTTCTGCTCTTCCCTGCTGCCCTGAATCCTGAGGAGCACCTCCTGTGCTCTCAGTCAACACAGGTCCAGACTCATCAGCAGCCTTAGCCCAGCCCTGGCCCTGGTGGGACATGGACCTGGCACCCTGCTGCTGCTCCCAGTTCTGCCTGTTGCATTTGGGGGCTGGAGGCTGAGGACAAGGCTTTTCCCGTGCTCCCTGCCTCTCAGGCTGCACCACAGCTTGCCCCAGTGCTCCCCTGCCATTCCTGGCTAACTTCCAAACTCCGAGGGGAACCTTGGCCAGCAGAGGCAGGTCACAGGGCATGCTGCCTTCCCTCCCAGCCCCAGCACCTGAAGCCATCTCACTCCCCAAGCCCTCCTGACTCTGCAGTGGTGACCGAGCAGTATAAGGACTTTTTAAGTTGGTCACAGCTGATCTTTACCACCCATCCAGCAGTTATTCACCACTCTGTGAATCTCCTGACTCTCAGGAATAGCTTTAGATTGACACACACACATCCCATAGGTAGGGCACATTGATGCTGTGCTCCAGAAACCCAGCTCTTCACAAGCTGTTCCCTTCCTGTTTTCATTCATTTCACTGAGAGCTTAGCTGAGTATTTAAGTCCTCGTGCTGTAATTGGATTAATTGAGCTGAAGGGCAGCTGCTTTGCTCTGTTTCCTTGTGCCCCCTTCCAGTCCCTGCAAGTTTCTCTCGGCACAGAAACTGCAGCAGTTTTCACCCACGCTTGCAGACTCCAGCGACCTCCTGAGCTGTGGGGACCAGCCTTGTGCCTGGGAATCCTGGGTGCTGACAGTCAGGTCCTCTTCTCTTTTGCTGATGCAGCCCCTGGAACAGATTAAACTGGGCAGAGTGGCTGTTGTTTGTACCTGAGCAACTGTTCTCAATACCTGGACGGACCATAAATTTGCAAGCTGGTATTTTGCTAAGCTTGCTGTTACAATGAGAGCTTCTGAGGTTTTTTTTTTCTTTAAAAATTTAGCTTGAAGAGAAACTAATATGTCAACAAAGGTGATGACAGTATCATTCATTCTATTGAGAGCTCAAATACTGCTGTTAAAGGGCATGAACTGCTTGCTCAAGAGTTTTATTGAGCCTCAAAAGTTCATTGATTTGAAATTATTAAAGAAACCTCCAAGTTTCTTTGGTTGGAGCCCAACATTTTCAATGTGCTGTGAAAGTCCCTAATTTCACGAGACTGTAAAGCTGTCAGGGCTACAAAGATACATAATAAATATAGAAATTTACCTGTTTTTTATTTGATGAAGTCACAGTTGCTTTTTAAAAGGATAGGGTGTTCTTATAACAGTCTCTTCTTTTTTTTTGCCATTATCAACAACTGCAAAACCCAGAACTTTTAATAAAAAGGAATTTTACTGGCTGTCATTGACATTTATAGTAAATAGGGAGTGTGTTAAGTAACTGCACATTAAGCCATAAACTTCTTTGAAGAACCTGTAGCTGAACACTTTAAACTCGTGTTAATTAAATCATTGGGGAATTTGCTGAATGACTAGTGATGTTTGCTCTTCATATTAGGAATTATAATGAGGGAAACAGTGGAGAACCCACAGTTATCTAAAGAGTCAGGGGAATGTTGCTGTAAACACTGTACAGGTCCAGCAAGCCTTGGATATCAGAGAGTATAATAGTGGATAAGGAACTAGGGCCACAGTTGTTCAGGTTTCAAGACTATTTGTAGCACCAGATCTTGCAAATACAAATGAGATGCATCTAGCAGGGGCCACGATACCAGGAAAAATCCAGTTGAATTCATTCTGCTTGTCACAATCTTTAGAACAGCTCACAGGAGTGAAATATGAGAAAGTTAAAATCAGAAATGTTTTATTATCTTAGGGGAGGGGGAAAGAATCAGTCTCCGCTGTCATGGGGAAGAAAACAAACAAACAAACTAAATCATAGGAACAACTGATAAGGACTTTGATGGGTCATAAACAGTAAAACAGAGAAGCACGAGCGAGATGCCACTGACAGAGGATGCAGTAGAGAAGGAGTCGGCCTCTCTGCAGGAATAACACAAAAACACATTGCCAACAACAGCAAGAGAGGCACACGCTGGGCAGGGTGAGGATGACCAGCAGGGCTCTTGGAGAGAAGGGCTTAGTCTGCAGGAAAGAAAAGTTTCAAGGACATTTCATGCAGGCAACGTTCACACATGATGGGATGCATTCTGACTAATTCTGGCTGTCTTAAAGGTATGCAAGATAAGCCTTGAGGTTAAATTAGATTAAATATTTTGTAAAATTAATTGAATTATTTTGAACAATGCCAAATTATACTGGGAACTTTAAATGCCATTTAAGCAATTGTGGGAAATAACTAGTAAAGAGATTGCTTGCTTTCACAACAATGATTTTCATTGTATTACTCAGAATATCATTTGCCAATCTATGTTTTACCTTATCTCAGGTGATTCTTGTCAAAGCCAGGTTTGGAATCCTTCTGTGCCAGATTAGCTCAAAACACTTTTACCTGCAAGTCAACGAGTTTTAATCATGCTGGCAGGAAATCAGTTTAAGCTGTGCATTTC